CAACAACAACAACAACAACAACAACAACAACAACAACAACAACAACAACAACAACAACAAGAATTGTATTTGAGTTCACTATTGGAATAAATATTCGACCTCTAAGACATTATGTGCTATTAAAAAAAAATCCCTAACATAAATACATCGCCACCAACTTTACTTTTCTCACCTTTAACCATAAATAAACGAGGAGGCGCTGAGGTGGGATTCTGCGGGAGCGGGGAGATAGTCGAACGCCATCTTTAAACCCCACTGGAGGCCAGCAGCTACAACTATACTGGGATGAAAAAAAACACTGTTCTCGCAGCAGGATATCACGTCAAATTGTCAAGATAGCGTCATTATTTCCTGGTCAAGTTGCACATTAAAGACCTGTCCGATGAGACCATGAGAAGACCGTGACGGGACACCGCAGGAGCTTTCACACCATGCTAACATAGGCAGGCAACAACAATAGACGGAAAGACAACAACAAGGCTAGCAGTTTTGCTAAGCTAACGTAAGCTAACTCAGTAGCAAGCCTCTGTGGTTGCGTTGAAATTCAACCACACGGGGATTGTAGCTGACACTGGGTAGCCTGCTACTTCATACGGGTGGATCCAGCCGTTATTTTTTATTTTTTAAAGAGCAGTTTTCTATTAAAAAATTAATGCAGTTGCGCTAGCTAGCTGAAAGCTAAGTCCCGACTTCTACTCAGCGGCCCAGCCGGAGATGCGTGGAAGATGTCGGTGTCGGGGCTGAAGGCCGAGCTGAAGTTTTTGAAGTCTATTTTTGATCCGAACCACGAACGGTTCCGGATAATTGACTGGAAGCCCGACGAGCTGAGCTGCCAGTTTAATGTAACTGGGGAAAAACTGCTAATTATCCACTGCAACATAACGGTGAGTAAACAAGTACGCACGTACCGAGGGGGGGTTATGCTAGTCGGACACTTCCCGTGTTAGCGACTTAACGTCAGGCAGTTGCAAAAAAGGGAGATAAATACTCGTTTTCTAAGGCTTTTATGTTGACTTTAAACGTTTAAAAACCAGTCTCAGCCATGGGGTTTCTGTTGTCCAACCGTTTAAAAATTATAATCACGTCTTCAAAATCAAATGTTACTTTTCAAAGTCCGAGTTCGGTGCTGCGACAAACAGGAATCTGGATTATACGAGTTGACGCCAATGACCTGTTTTATGTTTCGTAATCTCCATTTTATTTATTTGTTTGTATTATTATTTATTTTTAGGAATCCTATCCATTGACGCCACCAATATGGTTTGTGGACTCCGACGACCCGAGCTTGGCGCAAGTTTTGGAGAGGTTGGAGGATGTGAGGAAAGGCAGCACCTTGGTAAGTTAACCCCACTTTCTGCACACATTTGCTGACAGTGTTGTTCATCGCTGTGATGAAGTCTTTGTCACCCCCAAATATTGATTGGAGACTCACTTGGATCACTGACTCTGATCTAAGTTCTGGAAAATGCTTCCTTTATATTCCTAATCTATCATGCACTGAAATAAGGGACTACACTTTGCACCTAGACTTAATAAAACCATGTGATTAAACACGTATCGATCATGTTGCCTCTGATGACTTATCTTTGGATTATTGAACCAGCCTGCTGCAGTGAGCGTCTTCAAATGTCAGGCTTGATGCCTACAAGTCTGCAAATTGCTGATTATTATTGTGCGTACTCATTCTTGTTGTTTATATATCAGAATGACCAAATTTGCTCAACGAGAAACAAAACAGCTGAGTAATTGAAGTAGTCCGCTCTGTAACTTCAAAGCCAAAAAAGTAGAAGTGAGACAGAAATGATCAGACTCCAAATAAGAGGCATGAAAAGCAAATCAAGCAGCTTCAAGACAGATAAACTCAGGTCTTCACGATTCAAGAAGAGCGTCTTTGTGAAACTCAAAATGACCTAAATACTTTCTGGTGTCGGTACCTCCAGTGATTTCTGATAAGTACTCTTACATTAGTAGACCTCATGATGCAAAAAGCATGCACTGATGTTTGAATGAGGTTATTTGTAGCCTTTGCATTTAGACACTACTACTACTACTACTACTACTACTACTACTACTACTACTGCTACAGCCACTGTTACAGCTACTACTACTAATATTAATACTAATGCTACTACTACTAATAATAGATTGTAAGAAACAAAAGCCAAAGAAAAGCATGGCCTTTTTAAATAGAAGCTGGTAGTTTTGTTTCCTTTCTTTTTTATAATTTTGACTAATCAAATACTACAAAAAACAAAAAAATTATTTGGAATGTGTAAAGTGTGAACTGCACATTCTTCCTTTCTAGGTTGTGTAGAAAAAGTGCATATACATGAGTCTTGCACATAGAGTGCCATAGCATTATTTGAAAAGTTTGTGTACACTGTTATGCTATACTTGGATTAGTTTAAATGTAATACAACACATTTTTAAGTACTGCTGTGAAAATGTGAAATTTGTACCATAGGATTTGATTAGTGTTTTTTGACAAACATGTCTTCAACGGTCCAAAGAGAGCAATGCAACATTGAGGTCTTTATAGTCTGTGATAATCCGTATGTAATTCTGTTTATAAGACCACATTCTGACCTATTTCTATATAGCATATGTTTCTCAATACAAGACAAACAAAAGGCCATTTTTCTCGACAAAGTTGTTCGTTCGCACTGCATTTGTCTGATTTCAGCATTAGTTAAGATATGTGTCAAAAGTAGCACATTTGTTAATGTGAGAAGATGAGATCAGCGTGGCTTTCTTCTGTTCCTCACTTGTTTTGGTGGTGCTCCATATTAGATCTGCACCAGATTTGCAAAGGCACGTAGGCAACAAGTGCAGAACCTTCACACCCAAGACGCCATTTATTGACATGCTGTTTGAAGACCTACTCACTGAAAATAAGTTTTTTTGTTTGTTTGTTTGTTTTTAAATGTCAACAATAAAAAAAAAATCTTGGTAGAAAAGTTGTTTACTACTAGAATTATTTATTTCTTTGTACCTGGAATTTTTTTTTTTTATGTAATAAACATTTAATAGTTCATCCTTTGGTCTATTTCTGGTATTACTGACTTTTTGTGCTTATCAAACAAAAGACTTAGATTTAACCTATACATGTTAATGACTGCCACTTACCTCTATCCCTTCTCTTATTTGTTTTGCAGTACTACTAGTGAGTCCTCTGATGTTTATATCCATACTGTGTAATGTCATTATTGTACCTTGGTTTACTCAAACAATCACCATATTCTCATATTCTGCATCTGTACATTATTCTACAGCTTCCTTTTCAATCCTCTGCATCACATTTTAAAAAGAATATATTTTTAATTTACTTGTTCAGCGCATCACAATTTACATTTAGGAATATGTGAGAGGAAAAGATGGCCTTTTTACAAAGCATGTACATATATTTTTAGCCATGAGATATTGCATAGTAAGTTTACTTTGCAAGCTGTTTATCTAACTTTTTATGTCGTTGTTGTGTTTCGTCATGTCCAGCTTCTGCAGCAGTTGAAAAAGCTCATCTGTGACCTTTGTCGTTTGTACAACCTCCCACAACATCCTGATGTGGAGATGCTAGACCAGCCCCTGCCTGCAGGTCCTGTTGAAAAAGACAGAAAGGCAAGTTTCCACTTAATGCTACTTTTAACAAATATGCCATGCTTGCATCCTGCAGATTAAGGTGTTTTCTTTTGCTTTCACAAACTAGTTGATCTTGGGTATATCTTGGCAATCTACATGTGACTGCTGTTAAAGATTTGTGCTCATTCTCCATCCGTGCTCAACAGAAGGCGGTCAGTTTGATTTGTGCTCTTTGGTTTGTGTGTAGCATGGAACAGAGGAGGTCACGTCAGAAGAAGAAGAGGAAGATGATATGGGGGAAGTAAGTTCTCATCTTTTCATGTCCATCCATTATCTTTTACCTGCTCCTTCCTTTTTGGGTCGTGGGGTCACCGGTGCCCACATCCAGCTATTACTGCGAGAGGTGGGGGACACCCTGGACAGCTCTCAAGTCCATCATGGGGACACATAGAGACAAGCAACTAGGGGTGCAAACCTCTGTCTGTCAATTCCATTGCGATTTTTGGTGGCACGATTCAATTCAGAAATGATTTTTTTATTGAAATGGTCATAATGTTTGTTTAAATTATGTAATTGACTAGATGAAAAGATTAAACAACAATGTAAACAAATAGAACATTTATTTAAAACAATAATTTTAGGTTCCTTACTCTATCAAATCTTTTTGCATCATTTTATATTTATACCAAAAATAGGAACAAATATAGGAGTGCATACAATTCTGTAACTTAAATTACCAGTAATAGGTTAGCTTAGCTGCCTGGCTCTTTCAAAAATAAAAATAAATCTAGGAACAAATAATTCATCCATCCATCATTTTTACTTACGTCCTCCTTTTCGGGTCACGGGAGTCACTGGTGCCCATATCCAGCCAGCCACCCTGGACAGGTATCAAGCCCATCACAGACAAATAAAGATTCAAGATTCTTTTATTTGTCATTCCAACACGTGGTGCATTGTGAATAACATTGTGTACACAGGGTCCCAGTTACATCCAACAAAGTATTAAAATGTAAAAGAAAAACAGTAATAAGATATGAACTAAGAAAAACATCAACTAAAAACACACTCCGCACTAGTAGCATAAAAACAGTACGTTGAACAGCAGCACAAGCATGAGTCTGTGTGAGCAGATGAGCACGAATGAACACAGCAACGTGAACCAGATCAGCAGCAACATGAACCAGATCAACAGCAACATGAACCAGATCAACAGCAACATGAACCAGATCAGCAGCAACATGATGTGATTATCCTGGTTAGACATTCATGAGTCTAACAGCTTCAGGGTAGAAGCTGTTCCTCAGTCTAGTGGTTCTACACTTAATGCTCCTTAACCTCCTTCCTGAGGGGAGCGGGGCAGAAAGTGTGTGCTGGGTGAGTGGGGTCCTTCATGATGCAGGTGGCTCTCTTCCTGCATCTGGAGGTGTATATGTTTGTGATGGTGGGGAGGCTGACTCCAACAGACTTCTGTGCAGCCTTCACCACTCTATGCAGAGCTTTTCTTTCTGCAGCTGTGCAGCCTCCATGCCACACGTTGATGCTGGAGCACAGGATGCTCTCCACTGCACACCTCTAGAAGGAGGTGAGGACTGCGCTTCCCAGACCAGCACAGGTGTGCAGGACTGCGCTTCCCAGACCAGCTCGACTCAGCCGCCTGAGGAAGTAGAGTCTCTGATGGGCTCTCTTGATCAGGCTGATGAGAGAGATCAAGAGAGAGATTCTTGATCAAAATATATAAATACAAAAGTAAACAAAGACTTCAGCTTACCACAGTGCATTAACCTCCAACTCAAAATAAAATACAGACCACAGTTTTTTTTTAACCATATTGCTCCAACATTTGCTATATTTTCAAAACTTAACCTAATATGAAATAAACAGATTTCACAGTCTTAACCATATTGATTCATATTTGGTAAATCTTTAACAAATCTCAAAACTTGTGCAAGTCTGCACAAAATCTATTCTGAACTGTAATGTATAAACTATCTAAATTGTATAATTTAGAACAGTCTCCAGGCCATGTCTCTCATCTGATCTCTCTTCAACCTGTTAAAAAGACATATTACATTAAGAGTTTTGGATAACTTGTCTATATACGTTTTTGTATAACATGAGAACAGTTGCCTTTCAGCTGCATTAATCAGAGCTTCTCCCACGTTGCTCTTTGTTTCATGGTGGTGTTGTGGCGCTGCTTTTATCGCTAAAAAGCTACGTGAAGGAGTAACATATGTTGGGTCCAGCGTATTAAAAATAAACATGAACCCCTCACCTTCCACTGAGCTGTCTGGTCGTAAATTCTTTGTGATATAGCAGGAGATGGAGGGAAATCTTCACAACCTTTGGGGAATTAGCTGGAAATTTGTTTGTTGCAGAGTTCACTGATCTGCCACTTTGGCTTTTCATATTCCTTCCATGCGTTTGTCATATTTTCAAAATACTGCACCACATTTTTATTTTACACTTCTTGCAAACAACCGTGCTCTTGTTAAGCTCTGTCTTCTCCCAGAACATTGCAGAATCCAAAATGACTTTAAATCGATTTTTTTAACGACGAAAGAGCGAGTTGAATTGCGCTGTCCTCCCGCTCCATGCTAGCAGACTCGGGGAGTGGTGGCGCAGAGGTTAGAGAAGATGGGCCTGTGATCGGAAAGTCGCAGGTTCAACTCCCGGTACCGTCGACATCAAAATGTGGGTGGAAAAGGTGAAACACCCACACCTGCCTCCACCCTCATTCATCCCACTCTGGGCCCCTGAGCAAGGCCCTCAACCCCCACCATCTGCTCCCAAAAACAGGTCTCTTGAAAATGAGTTCTTGTGACTAAATGAGACTACCTGGATAAATAAAGGGTGAATGGGGGAAAAAGGACTCCATTCAGATAAAGGGAGCTGGCTAACTAGCTTGCTGTACGGTGGCCTACAAGGCCATATTCTACGGTGACAGGTGGACACGTAATGTGATATGCAGTACACTCAGGAGTAGTAGGAAAAAAAACCTGTTTTTAAATCACTTTATGAGCCTTTAGAATCTATTCAGAATCACCAGGACTAGGAATCTATTTTTTTAATGAATCAATTGTTTTTTTTCTGCACTCCTACAAACAACCATTCTCTCTCTCACTCACACATAGGGACAATTTAGAGTTTCCAATCAGCCTAACATGCATGTTTTTGGTCTGTGGGAGGAAACCCACGCATGCACAGAGAGAACATGCAGACCCCACCCAGAAAGGTCCCAGGCTGGGATTTGACCCAGTGGCCTTCTCGCTGTGAGGCAACCGTTCTACCATCTGAGTTGCCGTGCCACCTATCGTTTCATGTCCTTTTGTTTTATTTTTCGTGTTTCTGCTTCATACCAGTTTATTTTCCTGTCATCGTATGTATTGGTTCTTGTTTGATCAGGCATTGTAATTTTTTTTTTTTGTTTACGGTTGATCATTAGGACATTGAAGACTTGGACCATTATGAGATGAAAGAGGAGGAGCCTGTGGACGGGAAAAAATCAGAAGACGATGGTATTGAGAAGGAAAATCTAGCAATCCTTGAGAAGATCCGAAAAAATCAGAGACAAGACCACCTAAATGTGAGTCTGTAGTGATGTTTTTAATATCATTTCAGAAATGAAAGATGTTTATTTCTTTCTGTATACCTCAAATTTAAAGATGTGACGTGTGTCCATTATACAAGACCTTATTTGCCAGTGTTGCAGAGCGAATTGGAAATATCCTTTTGTCCTCCATACATGTATGTAAATTTGATCTAGATAACTTAAAAAAAATAAGCAACTTTCATTTTGGTGTGTCTGCATCTATGTGTTAGATAGGTCACTATTGAAAATTGGGTTTCAAAATCAAAATTCAAGATGGCCACCACCATATTTTATTTATTTATTTATTTATTTTTAATCTTTATTGAAAAGTACAGAACAATACAATAAAATGCAGTATACAGTAATGATATAACCGACGCCAGGGGGCTACAAACACTGAGACAATAATTTACAACAACATATTACATAAATATATTGAAGAGAGCACATAAGGTGCAAGTTTTTGTGGGCTTAGTGTTGGTGGAATATTTAATAGTTTTGATGTATTGTTTGACCTCATTTTCAAAAATGGAGATAAGAGGTTTTTGATTAGTGTATCGACATTTATGAATATGCCATTTGGCTAGGTCTATAATAAGATTAATAATATAGAACTGTTTTTCTTTAGTTGTTGGGTAGACAGTGAAGCCAAACAAAACATGTTCAAAGCAAAGTGAGAGATCTGGTTCTATAAAAGTAGAAATCAAAATACAAATACTTTTCCAAAATTGAGTCGAGAAGGGGCAAGACCAAAATAAATGAAAGACATCTTCTGGGTTTTATCACAAAAAGAGCAAATTTGCCACCACCATATATATATCTGTAATCTGCCCACCCTAATCATTTGAGGGAACTATGCTTTCTAGTGATTATTTTGTTTAAAGTTACAGTTTCCTCAAATTATTAAAGTGACAGAATATTATATGGTAGCCAAGGCCACCAATGGCCACCCCCTGGTTCTGCCATTGCACCTGGTGGGGGATGAAACTGCTCCCTCCACTCGTCAGGATCAGTCAGTCTGTGTTGCCTCAAACAAGCAAAAAACAAACAAACAATACAAACTACCTCCATTCTTCTACACCATATGTGTCAAACTCATGGCCCGGGGGCCAAATGTGGCCCTTGTTGACATCTGATCTGGCCCCCAAGCTGATATGTGAAACGTAGAATAATTCTATCTCTTTAATTTTTTCAGTAATCTTTGATTATAATGTTTAAGGCACAACAGAGAACATCAAATGAGACCAACCAAACTCTTATTGAGTAACATGTAACCAAGCAAAGATCTTGGGTATCTGATTTGAGTTAGTGTGGTTTTTGAAATTGGCCCTTGGTTTGAAAAAGTTTTGAGTTTAGGCCTCTTGTAAGTGAGTTTGACGCCCCTGTTCTACACAGTGTAACTCCAACCCACTTGAATATCTTGCACAAAAACATTAATGTTGACCTGTATTACTAGTTCAATTCCAGTCCAGAAAAACACTTATCTCCAAAACTACAAACTTTCACTGTTTGGATAGTGTCTGTTTATCAAGGAAACAAAAACTTGTTAAAGTTAATGTTTTAATGTGTGTGTTAAAAATCTGAGGTTTCTCAGGATCCTTCTCAGTAACTATGTTTACATGGACATAAGTAATTGGATTAAATGGCTATTCGGAATAAAATCATGTAAACGCCCCATTCTGAACCGATTCAGCTCAATCCGAATAAATTTGTAATCCGAATGAGAGTGGTTTATGCTGATTCATAATCTGAACGGTGTGCATGTAAACCCTTAATCTGATCATTTTATTCCGATCTTGGAAAACTGACCTGACTGTGCATGTGCGACCTATGTGTACCTCACGTATTTCCACCTGGCTAGATGCTAATATGATGGGGAAGGAAACTGGTCGGTGAGCGACAACATTTCTACTAGAAACTTTGAATGAGTTCATGATCAGATTGTGCCCATGTAAACAATACATTCAGATTATTTAATCCAAACCCATTTCAATACGATCAAAGAATTTTGCGCATCTAATCAGCTAGTGACTCGGCTGATGAATCCGTTTAAAATTGCTGAAATAAAATGTCTTTATTGCTATAAAATTAATATTCTCTGTTTGCCATGCAAGTAATATTTGACTTTTTTTCACAGTAAATATATCCAGAGGGTATATTCATGCTGTGTCACTGATGTTTGCTCACATTTGTACAAATGACAAGTAATGAATTGCAAAACTGTTTTTTGTTTCTTGTTGCAATGTTTGTCATTTTGCAGGGAGCTGTATCTGGTTCAGTGCAGGCTTCTGACCGCCTAATGAAGGAGCTAAGAGAGATCTACAGGTCTCAGAGTTACAAGACAGGTATGCACACGGCACAATGGTTGGGGTTTGTTGGGAACAAAGGAAATGTCAAAAACACAGAGGTGAAACGACACACACTGTCAGATCCTTTTTTTTTGTTGTTGTTGTTGTGACAGGTAATCTGCTCAACATCAACTAATTCAGAAAATAATTAAGTACTTAATGAATGTTATAAGATTGGATTTAGACATTTTGACATTTCTATTGGCAAAGATGTCACTTGTGGACCTCCTTCTGAAATCCTTTAATTATTACTCTGCAAGGTAATTTTTTAATGCGTTGACGAGGCGTGATCGAGATTAGCTCTTGTCAGAATGTATCCTTCGCTCTGCCCCATTCGGTTTCATTGTTTTAATAATGGAAAAAAAAAATGCAATGAAACATGCTTTAGGTTCAAGCCTTTAAATTGGACGTGTCAGAAGACTTGAATGTAATTTTGTTTTGCAGGCATCTACTCAGTGGAGCTTGTTAATGACAGCCTGTATGAATGGCACGTCAAACTGAGGACGTAAGTAACTTGTCTTGTTGTAGTTTTTGTTTCTGTGTTAATACTAACAGACCGAACCAACAGGGTGGACCCAGATAGCCCCTTACACAGTGATTTACAAGTCTTAAAGGAAAAAGAAGGAATGGATTACATTTTACTAAACTTCTCTTATAAAGTGAGTAAAACTAACTTCACATTCACAAAAATTATTCAGAATACTGGAGACTTTTATTTTAATTACTGTTTTCTTTCTTAGGATAATTTCCCTTTCGATCCACCATTTGTCAGGGTAGTTTCTCCTGTGCTTTCTGGAGGGTAAGTATTTTCTTTTTTTAAATGCACATTTTCTTCTGTTAGTTTTAAGTAGGTGTGTACGTTTTTAATTTGAACTGAAAATGTTGCCTTTCTTGATTATTTTCTTTTAAGTTATGTTCTCGGAGGAGGCGCCCTTTGCATGGAGCTTCTCACCAAGCAGGTGTGCAGCATAATCTAATAATCCCGTAATGTAAATAGGCGTTGCGTGAAACTTTTGTGATGCCTTGAGTTGTTTTGCATCCGTTATGTTTGTTTGTGCATGACTTTCAATTTTAAAAAGCTGCTCTTTTGGGTTTTTGATTGTAGGGTTGGAGCAGTGCCTATTCCATTGAGTCTGTCATCATGCAGATCAATGCCACTTTAGTCAAAGGAAAAGCCAGAGTGCAGTTTGGAGCCAATAAAGTAAGTGAGAATGTTATTTTGAAATTGTTATTATTAGGTTAGTTTTACATGCTTTTGCAAGCGCTCAACGTTTCTTTTGCATTTCTCTCAACATTTCTGTCTGATTGCAAACTCTCAATGTTTATTTTTTATATCCTTTCTGTCTCATGTATATGTTTAATCTCTGCTATAGCTTATACATTTCATGCACATCAAGTTGTAAGGCAGTAATGGTTATTGTTTGCGAACACAACATTCAGTCATTCGTGCAGCTTCCTTCAGGAACCACAGAGTGCACCTTGAGGTGCGGCGATCTAGTTGTCTCCAAAAATAGGAAAAACACCCTAAGTGACCTTTGTTTGAATCCAGAGTCTTTTTGGGCTGTCTTTTCTTAGCCTTGCCCTTTTTGACCTTTTTCTATGGGCATGACATGAGGCGGCTTCAGTGTCTCTATAAGGTGGTCTCACCTGTTTCTATCTGTTTTTAGAACCTACTCAGTCAAGGTTCCAAATGAGACAAATCAAGCTCAAGACTTACTGTCATTTTCAGACTATTGAGCTCACCCGAATTTAAGCCACGCCCACTAAATCAATAAAAATAATAATTTTGTACGTTTATAGGCCACGCTTGTCAATAAGCCGCGGGTGTTCATGTTGTAACATGAGATATTTACACGGATAGAATTTTTAAACTTTTTGATAAATACATATTGGTAACATACACAAACACATACAGTAAATGTTTTTTTGTTTTTTTTCTTTTTGAACAGTGCCTGTAATACAGCTGGTTTAAAAAATAAAATAAAGTAGCTTAACAGGAAGCCGTTGATTGCTATCTTCGCATTCCTTCTGCACAAGCTTGTGCTGTCCTCCGTCATGCAGCTGCCTTTTGGAACATAACGGGCACAACAGGGAGGGGAGGAGAGAACGGGCCATTTCATTGTTCCACTGTGACATGTTCGGTAATTTCATTGGTCAGATTATTATTTTTTTACCTTTATTTATACAGGTAGTCTCATTGAGTCACGAGGACCCAAGAGAGATGTGTATTGGGCAGCTATGTGAGCGCCCGGATGTGACGAGGTTAAATGTTTTGGCGGCAGAAAGCTCGTTGGCTCATCAAAAAAAAAAAAATCCATAAATTAGCCACAGCATTGTTTAAGCCGCAGTGTTCCAAAGTGTGCGGAAAAAAGTAGCGGCTTGTAGTTCGGAAATTGTGGTACTTTTTTTAAAGATTCCTCTTAAAGCTGCTGATCAGTAACAGTGTAGACACAGCACAACAGTTAAGCAGTGACAGTCTGAGAGTGACACTCTACACCTCAGTGGAATGTAACAAGCGTGCAGCAGAATTTATCTTAAGGCTTGAAAATAAAACTTTGGAGTAATTTTGTTTAACGTGCGGCTGTTGGGATGGAAAAGGCAAAAGAAAAAACATAAATTGTAGCTTCCATCTTCCAGGGCCACTTCTAGGTATAAAATGAGTCCCATAGGATTTTGGTTCTCTTGGTAAAAAACATAAAAGACTCAAAGTTGTGTTTTTTTTAATCTTGTGATGCAGAATCAGTACAATCTTGCCAGAGCACAGCAGTCCTACAAATCCCTGGTTCAAATTCACGAAAAGAACGGTGAGTGTTTCCGTCTCTAGTTTCATACGTTTGTTCGCTGAAACCAGAATCCTCTGATGTGTTGATTCACTGATCGATATTGATCCTCAGATCATTGTTCATCTACTAAACACGTTAACGTTAACATGCCGGATCGTTGGTTAATTCTTGTGTAACAGGTAGAAGTGCTTCAAGGAATGTAACAAAAAGAAGGTGGATCACACCAAAACAAAACCGTATGGTGTACAACTGATCATCATTTACTCAACTCTGAATTCATACCTCAACAATGTTGATGTCTTTTTGGCTTTAGCTACATAAAGTAACACATGCTGGTGGACTGGATGTCCTGCAGGCTGTCTTTTTAGTGGACACACCAGCAGCTCACCAACAACAGCAATAAATACATGTTTAGTTTACAAATTGTTTTTTTTTTTATATATCTGTAGTTCTCTTCTCAAACACACATAGACAGGACTGTTCTTCTCATCAAATAATAATTGTAACTAATTTTTTGCTTCTTTTTTTTTAGGCTGGTACACACCCCCTAAAGAGGATGGCTAATACAGACTATTGCCTTTCCTGCCCTGGGACCACATGTCTTAGATTATTATTTTTTCTTTTTCTTGTGACCAATTTCATTTTTAGCCTGCAAGTAATATTCTTTACATGACCGTTTGAACTTCAAAAACCAAATTCCTCATTTAATGACCACCCAAACCCCACACAGATTCAGATACGCTCATCTCCACCTGAAAATGGACACGGTTGCAGCTTGTCCTCTCTTCAGATACTCATTTCTTTATACATCTGTTTGGAGAAGTCCTTTTTTTTTATTGCAATAGTCATCTCATGCCCCATACATTTGACAAACAAAACAATTGAAGTCACTCTTTTTAGTTTTGGCATCGAGCATGTCATGGTTACTTGCTGGCTTAGCGATGAACGGTGCAGCATGACTTCCGAGGCTGGATCGCTTTTACACCTCATGTTTTGGACGGCCTGAGCAGGAGAGGACGACGACGGGCCTTTTCTCAGGCTGACTGGGACAGGCCGCTAAAAAGAACAGCACACTGCTGGCTTTCAGTCAGGAAGAAACTCGCCATCGTCATCCTCATCATCACAACCAGCAGCAGGGCGACTCTGCAGGAGAGGTTTGGTGCGCGACTCGCCTGGCAGCATAACGAGCGTGATCAGGCGAAGCGGGGGCATGTTTGGATTGGCTCACACTGTAATGTAATGGATTTTAACTCCACTGTAAACATGTACATTTGTATTTCTGCTAAAGGATTTGTTTATAATGTAATCTTGTGTAGGTCTTTGGCTGGGCAGAGACTGTAATACTATATACATTTATTAATTGCAGGGGCTTTGCAACTTGGAGCCCATTTAAAAAAAAAAAAAAAAAAAAACTTAGATACTTTTGAAGTATCAGAAGGAAACAAAAGCCCACGTGTTCTTATGTAAACTTAATGACTACTGCAGTTTCTTTTTGTGTTTTTATTGACCTCTAATTCTTTTTTTTTGGCAACAGTGATAGTTTCACCCCTCCTCTGTTTGATGGCACTTCATAACAGTGATGTCAGACGGCTGTTAGCTTCCCAGAGGTTTGGACATTCATGTCACTCAGACTAGCTGAACCTCAGTAAGGCTACACAGCAAGGACACGTTCGTATGGAGTTCTGTTAAAATGAAGAACGTTATAACAGCTTTGTCTCCTGCTTGGTTCCTGAGGCCATTTCACTTTCTGACTACTAGTGTAGCTGTCTGGAGGGGGGAGGAATGACCTTTACCTTCTGACTCTTCTTTTGACGTCACAGCTGTTTTAAAAAAAATGCAGCCAGAGTTACAGATTCACATCAATGGATTCCTCTTCATACAATGTAGCTTCACACCTGGAGTCTGTTTCCAGAATTATTTGTGCAGGTTTAATAAATATTTGTTACCATTTGTCCCAGAAGGAAAAACAAAAAACAAAAAAAAAAACCAGCTCTTCCCATGACCACTTCTCTGGTTAGTATTCATGACCACTCTCAGCACAGCTGTATACCCCGCAGTGTGCTGAGGCTTTGATGTAATGTGAGTAATACGCAGAAAACTCTGTGGAGCATTCCAATTAGCGCAGCTACACATACGTGGCTGTTCTGTTGTGTACTTACTTGCATTGGTTTAAGTATATTGTCCTGACAACCAGTGTCGAAGGCTTAGTTACACCATTTTATGCAGTGACGTTTTAATTTTGGGTTTCCGGTGTGTTCCTTGCCTCAGACTGGCTGAAACAAAGCTTCATATTCAGCACATCCGATATTTTCGTGGTGAACATGACAAAGAATCTCACTCATTTGTTTATACAGTAATCTACAGATCGTAGGCATGGTTGTTAGCTGTTGTAATGTGTGTTTCTAATGTACCGATCACTCCCCACCCTCTCCGTTTTAGTCAGATTGTTTATCACACCCTTGCATTTTCTGGACAAGCAAACTCAGGAATACATAACCGCACACTCAACTTTGCAAAGGTTTGGTTCAGTCCTCACAAAAAGCCAGATTGAATGTCTCAATCTTTTTTTTCTTTTCTTCCATTTTTTTAAACGATGCCCTTGTTTTCCCTGTAGGCATTGTGGTGTGTGTGGCTATTGGATTTCACACATTTTCAAGGCTAAAGATGTCTCTAACCCGGTGGTTCCGAACACTGGTCCTTGAGGAACACCATCCTGCATGTTTTAGCTGTTTCCCTGCTTTGACACACCCAATTTGAATGACTTGGTGATGAACAGGCTTCGGCAGAACTTTAGGAAGAAATTAAATCACAGGATCAGGTGTGTGGAAGCAGGGAAACCATTAAACATGCAAGGTAGTGATCGTCAGGGACCAGGGTTGGGATCCACTTGAATCATGGTTCGATTGCTCCAACCCTCAGATTACGCTGCGCTCAGTGAGGGGTTCAGAGCACATACCCTTTCTTTTTGATATTGCCGTATCTTGCATGTCAATATGACAGTGGGTATTTCCATTTTTCTCGTCCCCACCCAAGCATTGTGGATGACAGAGTGGTTGTGTTGGCTGACTAGAAGAACTAGATGTTTCCCATCTTTTCATGGCTTGTTGTGGTTTCCCAGAGCATCAGTGCACAGGTCTGAAACGACGAGACACCAACTCGTTATCTCGCCTCCTTGGACTTACCTTTTAAAGACGATCCCCAAGAAAAGCAGCAGCTGAGATTCGTGCGCCCTCGGAACAAAACTTTGATACGTCACAGAATTGACGTTTGGAACACTGATGTGCTCAAAGGTCCAGTGCACTGAATGCCAGCAGCCCATTTCTGACTAACAAGGACTTCTCAGCTTTTGACAACTGACACATGACTGAGAAGCGAACGCGCCTGATCCTGGGTTCTTTACCTTGCTTCATGAACTGCGGTGGCCAGGTTATAAAAGTTATGCACTGTACGCATGCTTTTGTTTGGTTGTTTCTTCCTTTTTTTTTTTTTTTCCTGTTGCAAGGGTGATTTTGACAATGTAAAGGAATTTGTAAACTTGCATCAAGTTTATGAATAAAAAGTTTTATGGAATAACTTTTGATCATGTTCTTTCAAAGGAAATCTGTAAAAGTATAACTCCATGTACAACACTGAAATGCCTGGATTACACAATTAATGACGTTTAGGGAATGCAAATTCTACCATTTCAAGAAACGAGGCGGGAATCGAGTTTAAACCTCCATCCATGATGGATGCTCTTCATCGCCTGGCTTTCTTTGAGTGCGTCTTGTGTTTTCCAGCAGATGGTGGTGTTCGCCTAAAGATTCAGCTCAGTTTTTGTCTGACAGCTGTTCACCTGAACTCATGCATCATTTTTCCATCTTTTTTTTTTTTTTCTGGTGTTGCTCCATGCCATGCTGCCTTTATTTAATAAACTATAATAAGAAGAATGCTCAGGTTATGTTTTAATAACTCAAACTGAAATATTCTACCCAAAGATAAAAATGGTTCAATCTACCATATTTAATTAAATTAGCTAACAAATACATTTAATTATATTATTAGAGATTCCTGGGTTTGGGCCCTTTGCACCCTGTACAAAAGATGATTTGAAAGATTTAACTTTTTATTTTTTTTTTCATACAAGGCTAAAATGTTTAAGTCCAACAAGATTAGACTTTTTTTCCTCCTCTGACCATTTATGATTCAGTTAATGTTCAAATGTTGTGAACTCCAAAAGAGTAGAAATTATTTTAAAGTAAAATGGTTTGGAGTTTTTATATTAGTGGTGCTAAATGTCCATTTCAAGGAGCTTCTTGTATCTAATCTAGTTTAATCTGGGGTTTTGTAGGCTCAATCATCCAGGTAGATAACAAAAAAAGGTTAAATCGTGTCATTGGACCATTTTCTTAAAAAAAAAAAAAACTGTTCCAGATGACATGATTTAACCTTTTTTGTTCTTATTCTGGAATCTCCTTATCAGGGCTACTAGAGACGACACAATTCTCCAAAAATTAAACCATTTCTTTTTGCTTGTCCAAAAAAAAAAATGCTGTTCACAAATGTTGATGCAGATGATGATGACAAAATAATGAACTTTGTTCAACACATGACATGAGATGCCTCCGGCTGGGAAACAAGACATACTTTCATTCCAGCAGAAGAACAGGATGGTTTGTGTTTGTTCCGCTGCTCTCAGTCCACTTCAGATAAAAAAAAAAATAAAAAAAAAGATTATTCATAGTAGCTAGATCATGAAGGACAAACTATCAGGAAATCAAAGTGGGAACTATGCAACAGAAGGAAGATCACACCACAGGACCACAAGCTACAAGAGTCAACATTGTAGGGAAAATTTCAAATTCAAATGTATTTTTTTTAATCTTGTTTTACTGCTAATTTATTACTGCATGCTACTAATGTACAGTTTGTCACTTAAGAATTATATGTTTAGTGTTTCTGCAGTTTTCTCTAAATGCAGAAAAGCTTTTGACATTTCAGTTTCTGTCTAATCTGAAATGTTCCACTAGATGTAGCTGAAGGACTCCTGTGTTGCATATTTTCTTTAAATTACTGGAAGCTGAGGAGCAGCAAGCTTGTGTTATCAGACAGTTGATGCTTTATGATGAGAGTAAACAGTAATGAGACCTTTTCAGTGAGAGCCCAAGCCTTCCACTAGATGACATTTTATTTTAGTTCTCATGATGAGCAGAACAGTCATGTTGCTGTAAAGACTCTTGCATATTAAATATCACTCAAACCAGCGCAGAATGATTTTCAAGGTGTAAATAAAATAAAGAAAAGCTAAATGGATATACTATAATTATTATGTCTGTTTAAGTTTTGCTCTTTTTCCAGACTTAGCTAGTCTGTTCTTCGTGCTGGAATAAGAATCTGATGAACTCTGTGCTTTCACCCCGACACAGCAAGAAACATACAGATCTAACTATTAGCACCAGGTGGGTCGTGTTCCACATCAGCTGGAGATGGTTGATAACCAGAAGCTTAACCACAGACCACAGCGCTTCGTGTGGAGCAGAGAGCTGCATCCAGGGCACCCAGAGGATCAGATGGGGGGGTTAAGGGCCTTGCTCAAGGGTGGCCCAAATAAAGGTGGACGTAGATGCGGGTGCGTCACCTTTTCTACCTGCATTTTAGGGGTCACAGTCAGCAGGGGATTTGAACTAGTGTCCTTCGAATCACAGGTTTACTTCTCCAACCTCTGTGCCACCGCTCTGCTTTCCACTAGTGACAGGCTTAAATATACAGGACGCAATTTTAGTCTGTCAGTTTTACACCTGCACACAGTGTTTGAAGGAAGTCAACAGGTAAGTTGTACTATTTAATGCATGCTAGTTTTAAATTGACCTTTTTTTCTCTCGTGCTTATTTAACTATTTAAAATTACGACAAGCTCTAACTAAACTAGAGAAATTTCATTTCCTGCGAAAATGCAGTGTGAATACTTATTGCTGAAGAATTTACTAAAAAACAGCTGGAATGAGTTTAAAACATGCTGAAAAGTAGCTGAAAGAAGAAGCTTAAAACTTCCAAAAGGAAGTGGAAGGAGCTGAAATGAGCTGAAAAAAAATGTGGAATTAGCTGAAAAGCTAAAGTTAGCACAAAAACAGCTGAATAGTGGCCGAAATGGCAGAAAAGGCTGATATTAGCAGAAATAATTTAATTAGGCTGAAAGCAGCAAAAATTAGCACAAAAACTGAATTTATCTGAAAACAGCTGAAATTAGCTAAAAAATTCTAAAGTGGCTGAAAAAGTAGAACAAGCTTAAATTAGCAGACAAAAGCAGAAAGAACATATTAAATGAAAAAAGCAGAAATTAGCACAAAAAATGGAAATTATTTGAAAAAAGATTAATTGGCAACAACAAGATAAATAGCTGAACATTAGCTGAA